CTACGTCTAAAACTTCCCAAGGTCCAAAGTACTGAGGCATGAGTTTGCGGGATATCCCGAACTCCTGTCCCAGTTCTGAAGATTTGACCCAGACTCTGTCCCCTACCTGAAATGTAGAAGGGCGGCGGTGTCTATTCTCAGACTCTATCATTGCTGCCTGTGCCTTCTGCATGTGTTCTACAGCCTCCTGCATCTTCTGTTCATATCTATAGGCGAACTCCAGAGTGCCCGGCGTAGCAGTTGGCTGGTTGTCTGGAAGTAGGAAATCTAAGGGCAGTCTAGGTTTGAATGTCAGTTGTAGACTGTTAGGACTCGTCCCGGTAGCACTGTGCACAGCGTTGTTATATAGACTAGCGACTAGAGCAAGCTTTTCGTCCCAGTCTACCTGATTGGGCTTGATGTAGTGCCTCAACAGGTGTTGCACAGCGCGGTTCATTTGTTCAGCCTGGCCATTAGCTTCTGGATGATTTCCAGAAGTCATCTGCAGTTGAGTTCCTTGTTCAGCTGCAGTGGCCTTCCATAATTCACTCGTGAACCTGACGTCCCTGTCACTGACCATAGACTTCGGCAGTCCAAAKTCTCTAACCCAGTTTTCTTTAAATAGCCTGAACACGTATTCGGTCTTTGCTGTTTCTGGCTTAGCTATTAATCTAGCAAACTTACTAAACAAATCCACGATGACAAAGATCTGTCTCATCCCACTCTTGCTGGTGACCAGCGTATCCATGAAGTCCATGGATAAACTTTCACCTGGCCTTTCCGGAATCGGAAGGGGCTTGAGCAGCCCAAGAGGCGCCTGAGTACGGCGCTTGTTTCTCTGGCATACTTGACAAGTTTCCACGTACAGCTGTGCATCTTTCATCATCGTTGGCCACCAGAACCGCTGCAGCAAGTTGGCTGCGGTCTTCTTGTACCCAAAATGGCCGGTGGCACCATGACACTCACCTAAAAACAAACTACGCAAAGACTCGCTACTTGGAACGCACAAGCGTTTATTCCCTGCCTTCTCTAGGTACAGCAATCCATTGACCAACTCAAACTCGGCGGAGGTCTTTTTATCCTTCGCCTCAAGTCCGCGTATGATCTCAGACATAAACTGGTCCTGACGATAGGCTTCCACCAAAGACTGAGTAACATCGTCCGTCAGATCGAACTCAGTAATCAGCGCACCTAAGAAGTCCGGTCTGCGCGACAAGGCATCAGCAACCTTGTTGTACTCTCCTTTATGATACTGAGGGTCAAAGTCATATTGCTCAATGACTTCGATCCAACGCTTGAGAGCGTCAGAGAGTACTGGCTGTGTTCTCATCCATCTCAGGGTCTGATGATCAGTCCGGAGGATGAAGAACCGCCCAAGGAGGTAGTGTCTCCAATGGGTGAGAGCCTTGTACACCGCATAGAGCTCCCTCTCATAAGTGAACTTAGCCAACTTCTGAGACGGCATTTTCTTGGACATGTACTCTACTAGCCTCAACTTTGGCCCCTCCTGCTGCGCAAGCACGGCGCCAATGCCATATTGGCTAGCATCCGTGGTTACTATAAATGGCTTATCAGAATCGGGTAGCTTCAAGACTTCATAGTGCGTCAATGCATGCTTCAGATGTCTGAAAGCAGCCTCGCACTCATCTGTCCACTCCCAAGGGGTGTCAAGGCGGGTCAAATCAGTCAAAGGAGCGGCCACTATGTTGTAATTCTTAACGAAAGTCCTATAGTAGCCTGTCATTCCTAAGAAAGATCTCATCTCAGTCACAGACTAAGGACGTGGCCAATCACGAATGCTGGCCACCTTCGCGTCATCGGGCTTCAACCCTTCCGCGGAGATCTCATGACCCAAGTACAAGATACGGGTGCGGCCAAACTCGCACTTTTCACCATTGATCTTGAACTTGTGCTGTCGCAGGAGACTGAGAACTTTGTCTAAGTGTGCTCATGTTCCTCGACAGTCTTACTAAAAATAAGTATGTCATCGAGGTACACGACGACAAACTTATCCAAGTAGTCATGGAATATCCGATTCATAGCGTG